CATCCTGGAGATGACTATTATAATTAGTGTCAATATAAAACATCCTGATGATTACTGTTATAATTAGTGTCAATATAAAATATCCTGGAGACGACTATTATAATTAGTGTCAATATAAAACATCCTGGAAATGTCTGTTATAATAAGTGTGAATCCAAATGAAAGTCTATTTTTGTAAAAAAAAAGTACATTTAAGTTTATAAATTTCTGGCTCTATTTATTACTCGTCAACCAATTTGTTGATTTTTGTCGGTTTGTTTATTCGAGACAGGTTTTCAACCCTAGGGGTCATTTTTAATAGAAATAAATGTCCAAAGTCTCAATGTTTTCTGTCAACAATAAAGAGAGTTGACCTGAGTGTTTGGTTCTTGTTTTTTATTTACTTTCGGCACAAAATTAATTAAGTAACTATGTCACTTATCAATATCCCGGCAAAACGAATTTCATATCTATAATAACAATACTGTTGGTTTCGAAGCATTCGCTCAGTTACGATATAAGCTATAATACCCCCCACTTTTTAAACTAGGATTTCCTAAGTGTGTTTAGAACATCACATTCGCAAACAGTAATAAGCCCGAGACTTTCAAACTTCTTCGCCTTATGAAAAACATTGGCGATTTTCAGACTATATTCTAATGGCAATCTTCTTTAACATAAGCTCAAACATGGCAGTATAATATATTATTTAAAAAAAAAAACCTCACATTAAAAAATACATAAGTTTAAAATTGTGTTAAACGTGTCATTTTATTTTAGAAAAAATTAATTAGACCTCAATTATGAATTTTTGTTCTAGATAAACCAGAATTTTTAGTTCCGGAAATGGAAAAATTTGATGCTGTAGAGGGAGAGTCCGGAACGTTTAACGTCACAGCCAGAGGAAATCCACCAGTTATTGACTACACCTGGATCCGGGATGGTGAGCCTGTATTAGATGTTTCAGATAGCTACATTTGGAAGTCGAAACGAATTACCAGCCATCGAGTAGTTTCAAGAGGACCCATCTTGGAAATCACCGAACTGTCGAGAAATAATGGTGGACAATACGTCTGCGAGGCTTCCAATTCTCAAGGCACCACCAGGAGAGTGATTCTAATCAACGTGTTGTGTAAGTCATGTCAGCTTGGAAAATGATACTGTGCTCATTATGAGAATCTGCTAATATACAAGGTTATCTAGAGTATTCAGCAACCACATGTTTCGAGAGTGGATCCATATATATCTCTTCCTAATACACCAGTTTGTTTAAGTAATACATTAGCAGTGGATTTTGTATGTACTTAATCGCTTAATGTTTACAAGTGGACGACGCTTATATCAAAACGTTATCCACGTGTATAAAAAAAAGTAATACAGTAGCTAACATAATTAGTTTACAGCAAGTTTCTCTGCAGTTTTCTTTCAATTTGTGGGACATAATTTCTGGGTATTATTATACTGGGTATTATATAAATACGGTTATCACAAGAAATGTCCTGTATCTACTAAGTGAGATGCTACATTAGCCTTATGTTACGGATTTTGAAACCATATGGGAGGTATCCCTCTTGTGTTTTCAGTATCTAAAAGGATGAAAAACGCGAATAATGGAGCATATTAAAAACATGCGAGGCAAATAAGCAAAAACGAAAAATGGCAATTTCCTTACAAAACGTTATGTAATTTGGCATGAAATTTCATTTGTGTAATTGAAAGTGTAATTCTAAAAGTTTGAGACAGTATGGTAGTTAGCAAAACGAGTTTTCGATTCGCTTTGTATAATATGAGAAAATCGACGTCTGTTTTAAATGGTCAAATTGTATTATTCTATAAATTCATGATACATTATGTTTATGTCGCAAAGAAACTCATAAAACCAAGTTCCAATATTAAAATTTAATAACTTATTTGGTATGTTCTAAACTTTTTTCATGTTTTATTTGGTGAGTATAGTACTTAGAAAACACACAGAGGAGAGAAAGGCTAACTTTTATCAGTATTCGTCTAGTGTACCGTACATCACCAACGAAATCACTAATGATTCTAGGAGAGAATGTGCATTTCAGATGAAGCGTCTGTAACGAGAGTAAGTCCTCGAACCTACGTGAGGCAAGGGGATGACGCCCAGTTCCAATGTGAGGCTACAGGAAACCCTTTGAGAGAAGACGTCATTCGCTGGAATCGATTGGGATTTGAAACGAAGAGAATGCAGGTCATCTCTGAGAAGGGGCAATCATTTCTTACTGTATTAAACGTCTCCAAGGAGGACTCCGGTGAATTTGAATGCGTGGCCTACAACGGTATTGGAGAGGAGTCTATAGCACGTATTCTGCTTCTTGTCAAGTGTGAGTCGTGAGTGCATTTTTAGGCCTTTGGAACAAAAGCCCGCCAATTTAGTAATCTAATTTCTTTATCGTCGGAAAATAATATTGACATAATAAATAAGTTAAATGTTAAAAACTAACATATAACAATTCAATGTTGTAATATAAAACTAGCTTTATTAAAAACAGGGCACAGCACTAAAAAAAGGGGTCTCTATATTTTTGGTGGTGTCCAACGCCGCCATCATCAGATATTGTTTACAGTTGAACGTTAAATTTAAGTGTTAACTAATGTTTGTTTGTTTGTAATTAAGCACAAAGCTACACAGTGGACTATCTGTGCTCTGCCCACCATGGGTATCGAAACCCAGATTCTTGCGTTGCAAGTCCGCAAACATGCCGCTGTGCCACTGGTGGCGGCTCCTAACGATAGCAACATAAAGCTAAGTTTATTATGCAACGTTTCAACGTTGTATGTTCCTTATTAATATTAACAAAATTTGCTGTTTGACATGCGTTTGCTGCTTTATAGCTAGAAACCTAAATATACAGCCATCAATGCATTATTTGTTTCTATTTTCTTCTGAATATTAAAGTTTGGAATAACCGATACTTATAGAGACGTATCCTAACTTTTTATTGTTAGTTAGCAGTGTTTAAGTTATTTGGTAGTCCTCGCCCCAACATAAGTTTCAAAATACTAAATTATGAACTGTAGTTTACTTTATATTCAAAGATATTATTTATTTTACATCAGTTTGATTACATGTGATATATATATGACAACATACAGAGAGCGACCCCGTTAAAAAAAGTTAACTGAATTTAATAACAATACATAAGCTGAAGACTATTATATTTAGGGTTAGGGTCAATGTTTCTCGACAAACATTTTAAGTTATACTTTAAAATACACTTGCCAGAAGTTGGCCATGTAAAAGTTAGCATTGCATTAGAGCATGCCCAATCCTTTACAGTGAAAAATAATTCATTCAAACACTTAGATTAATATCAATTATTTCATATTACTGTATCTCTTATTACTTTCTTACTTTATTGATACTTCTTCATGATTACAACTTCCATTAACTTTTCATTATCACAAGTGCCCCCCCCCCACCACACACAGTAGTTGGCGGTATTTTGCAGGCTTACGACGCTAAAATTTTAAGTTTGATATCCGTGGTGGGCAAAAATACAGATAGCTCATTGTTTAGCTTTGTGCTTAACAACAACCAAACCAAATTATTACAAGTTTCATTGCGCACGTCCTTGTTAACATTTAACAGGAGATATTACTTTTTTACCCAAAGCGCACATTACAAGTATAGTGAGCCCCCCCCCCCCACGTGGCACATCGGTATGCCTGCGGACTTACAACGCTAGATTGTTTGTTTGTTTGTTTTGAATTTCGCGTAAAGCTACACGAGGGCTATCTGCGCTAGCCGCCCCTAATTTAGCAGTGTAAGACTAGAGGGAAGGCAGCTAGTG